GTTGCTAATAGTTTTTGTACTGTTAATAGTGTGCTACATGATATTGTTTGGGTTAGGGGAGCTAGTAGTTAGATATAAATATATTATAGCTGAAATGGCTTTGACGACATTTTAATATTTGTCAATGACGTTTTAATATTTGTTATGCGTGATCGATGCTTTTAATAAAATAAAATTTTAATATTGTAATGTTGATGTAAAAATTATGAAGGTTGGTTACATGATACTAATGCGTTATTTTTAATTTGATTGGCCGAATGTATGTCATGTGACCTGTGACAAATGTGCAGTATAACGGGGTGCAACAAATAAATTTCTCCTATATATATACTATATATATTTGTCTAAAACAAATTAAATTTAGTTTTGGTTTTAAACAAGGTTTTGAACAGGTTTTGAACATAATATTCAAAAATCAAAATTGTCAAATTTTTCAACACTGCTTTAAAAATATTTAGAATTTTACAATTTTATTTATTATAGAATTTTTTTTTTAGTCAAGTCTGTAAATTTGTTATTTCTGCCCTTCTCTAAATATATAATTTTTAAATTTTAAATATAAGAAATTATTTTAAACTTGGACCAATTTTATAATATGATATAATAATATTTTAGTTTGAATTCATACAATTATAGATGAACTATAGTATAGATAAACAAATATAATTATATAATAATTATATTTCAGTGGCTGAGTATAAATAAAAATAAAATTTTTATTTAAAATCAAATATTTTAATATATAAATATATTAAATTTAGTTATTAATCTATATATTTATAAATTATTTAACTATCCCTTACACTATTTTGCAGACAAATTTGTCTATAAGTTGTAGTTTCTTAAAAATTATAATTTAAGAGTATATAGCATCATAAGAAGACTAAATTATTGAGTTCAAAAGTCTTTAAAAAATATTATTCTTTTAATACACAGTTTTTTTATTTTTTATTTCTTTGTTTACCTTTTGGGACCTTTAAGAAATTATATTTTTGTACTATCTTAAATATGAGTATCACTAAAAGAAATCTTGAAAATTTAAATATAAGTCATATTTAAATTTTTGGGTTTTCTTTTAGTAATACTAATATATTAATAAACTAACAAATTATAATTGGTGCAAAAAATTAGGATATTATCAAATTAAGAATTATTATTAGAAGGCTAACAAGTATTAGCTTATTATATACTCTCTAAGATTTTAATTTAATATCTCTAGAATTAGGTATTTGATATATATAAATAATATATATGATATTTATTATATATATTATTTTATATTGTCAAATATCTGACTCTTAAAAAACTAATAAATTATATTGGTAAAAATAAAATATCTTATAGGTTTATTAGTAGGAAATTAATATTTTCATACTCTAATTTGATATTGCCACACTCCTAGAGATCATATAATAAGTAATAGTGCATATTGATTAGATAATCAATTAATTGTCAGAATCTCATGACTGATAACAATAGATAATCAATTGATTACCATGTTCTACACTTAATCAGTATATACCAGTATATGTAATAGTATACTTTCACTTTGAGACTTTTTAATTTTTAAGGATACTTTGTTTTGTCTAGTTATTGGTATGTTGTCCAAATATTTAAAGCTTTAAATCTTAAATAAAATTTCGTTAAAATAGCATAAAGTTATAATTGATATTTCTCAACACTACAAGACTAGATATTCTTCAAAGCATAAAAATACAAATACTATTTTTTAAGATATATAATATGAATATATAGTATCTGGATATAACTATTTTTAGGCTTAGTATAGCAGTATAACTTATAGGAGATCTATGAGTCAGTACTTTACAGTATTTTCAAATTTATTATAAACTTAATTATACATCACATATTACATATTAACACATACATTCTATTTTTTAAAAAAAAAGAAGCACAAGCGGGAATTGCTACGTACTAAAATAAGTATTAAGTATATAATGAATGATATTTATATGTATATCTTTGAAATTAACTACATATGTACCATTCTATAAGCAATGTGTGATATATAGTACATTAAATCAAATTTCTGTTATACCTAAAAATTTATTCATATAGTGACATGTTCTACTATTGTGACCGATTTTCTTACATACACCACATTTTTTGCCATTTAGCCTAGTTTCTTCTAACTTGAAAGCTGATGGGTCCCTTTTAGTAGAGGCCTGAACCTTGGTACTCCTGTTTTGTGAACCGACTGGTTATCCTCGAGTCTGTTGCACAATTGGGTTTGACAAAAGTATGGGTAGTTTTTTAATTATTTCTATAAGCTTATTCTGAGCCACCGCTTGTTGAGGAATTGGCCAAGAGTTATACTCTAGATGAATTCTTGAAATAGTGGTGTTAATAAATTCTCTGTTGCTCTTGATTGGCTTTGTAAGGTAATCTAAGACCTTCAATCTACCAATGATAATAAACATTATCAATATTTAGTACCTGATTTGTAGTGAGATGTTTTTTGATGACATATGCGTATAGGAGGCCCATATATATATTAAAAATACCATTACAGGGTTTAAGAGGATTATTTGTTATTGCACAAGAGACTTTAAGATATTGCTCATGAATTCGTCTTAAAGCAAACAAAGAAACCTTAGAAATTAATCGGCTATAGAAAGAAATATTTTGTGTATGTAGGATATGGGTTTTATCCTTGGAGATCATTGCTTTAATTTCATTGTATTGGTTTTCTAGTAATAATAAAATTTTTTCATACATGGTATGTAAATTACCAGTTGAGACTTGTAAATATTTCTTTAACATTGCGTGGGCACCTTCTATTCCGGACATCGCTGTATTACCCAAATAAAGATAACAATCAATCCAAGCGCTAACAAATTGAGTTTAGAAAGATAACCATGTATCATTAAAATATTTAATTGATGGATTTTCATTATATCAAGTACACAACTCTGTCCATTGAGCTTCAAAATCACTCTCTGTTCTTGACTTTACTAAACTCTTCTAATAATTAAAAAAGGTAACCCACTCTTCCTTTGTAAGAAAATATCATTTACATCTTGCTAGAATATTTTTCGCTATGTGCTATCCGCAAAGAATATTTTTTGAATCTGGGAATATATTCTTAACCGTATCTATAAGTGCCAATTCCTGGTCTGTTATAACGACTTTTGGTTTTTCTATTCCATTGAATAAAGAAAATATATGATTTAACACCCATTCATAATCTTCTTTTTTTTTATCTTTAAGGAATACAAAGCATGCAAAAAATGTTGTGTTGAAGCTTGTTGTAGCAACAACATCAAGAAGGGGCATTTTGAATTTATTGGTTTTATATGTACAATCTATAAATAATACAGAAGAGTACATATGAACCAACTCAATAGATCTGTGATGGGAGAAAAATAGGCACGTTATATGACCTTTAGTGTCAAGCTGGTAATCGTACTTATATTAACCCTCACTAAGTTCTTCCATAAGGCTTTGATGGGGTGTGACCTCTTAAATTTTTTATCTGAATTTTTTTGCGAATATTGTAGATGTCTCATGATGTTGAAATTGATGGATTAATTTGGCAAAGTGAGGATAAAATTTTATGTAGATGAACACCAGCATTTGACATTTCTTTTAACCACTCTCTTTCTTGTTCGTTTGGTTTTTGAAGAGATAGGTAAGCTGACGTGTTTTCAGAAGAATTATGGTTATGAGTTGGATCTGTAACTGATAATGTCCATATATTATTATTTCTCTTAACACCACAGACTGAGAAGAGACAATCAATCAATCTAGAACCTGTCTTTCTCTGATGTGTTTCATCTGTTAAATTCATATAATTTCTATATGTTCCACTTTGATCACAACTCAAATATACTTTCTTCTTCTTTGATCTTACAATAGCTACACCATAACCATTAGAAGTGCCAAACATTCATATGTGATTTATTAATGACTCTCGATCTGAAAATTCACCAACAGGAGGTGTGGGCATAGACATTGTATTATATTATTTTTTAGAAACTCTTAATAAAAAAAACTACTCTATTATATTTTCAAGATTCTTTTATTTAACGATAGGTACATATCTTGATGCACATACATGTACATTCACTGTGTAGTGTTTATTGGGTATGTATGTTTCAGTTCAAATAGACATTTTGTCAAACTTTTTTAAGTGCTAACTAACCACATAAAAATACAGTAAAATCACAATTATTGTGGAGTGGGTTTTTTTATATCTATTTTATATTCAATTATGCCACAATGATATTTTTATTAATTTATTTTATTTATTTGCAATTTTATATAATTATTAAAATTTTGTCATATAAACTATAGGTGCTGATGTACAACATCATTTATTACAATATGAAACATTGAGTTAAATGAACCTGCAGTCTATATGATACGAATTTATCTTAATAATTGATCACATGAATGTAGGTTATTATTAGTTATAGCTATAGAATATTTTAACAATGCGCATATACAGCAGAGACCATTAATGTTACATATATATTAAAACTGGTGAGGGATTATATCCATCACAATTGAATCCAAAATAAATAATTTAGTTTGTGATTGAGAGAGATTTACTTTGGATCAGGCACTGTCTCTGCTGTTATGTACATAAGGGTTCTGCAAGTGCTAGACATGGTCCTATTAAAATATAGTAGTATGATATTTTATAGTACCATGCCTAGCACTTGCAAAACTTTAACATATATACAAATTTAAAGGATTTGCTTGAAATAATATACTAAAGTTTTGCTAAGAAAGTTTTTTATTAATCTGCAGAAGACAATTTTATAGGTAAATTCTTAATTATATGCATTTATTAGATTGTTATGATTTTCATGTTTTTTTTTTTGCATTACACTCTGTTATCGAATTTGATCAGCTAGCAAAATTTTACAAAATTTGGTAAATTTGATTAGTCAAATATATAGTACTGTATTTTACTGTATAAGATATCCAAGTATATTATATTTCTAATAGCTTATACTTCTGGTATTTGCCTGTAAGAAAAAAAATTTTATTATTAAATTGGTTACTGATTTGTATCTGGGTATCTTAACAGGAGCGATTGTTCAAATTCGTAGATTATTTCAATATAGTTACATGATTAATAAATAATTTTTTTTATATATTTTACAATACTTCTTTTAAAGCTTGGGTATCTTAATTTTTTATAAAACGAGAGTAAATTTAACAAATAAATTAATGTTTTTGCTTTGCTCTATAACATATTCTTTGAACCTCGTAAATTCTACATTTTTTTTGTAATTTGATTAGCCAATTTGCTAAAACTCAAGATATAATTAGTTGACATTCATGTGTATTGTATAGAAATCATCTATGAATTTGAACTGTTAGATATCTTACATAATGGTTTAACAAATAATCTTGAATATACTTACGCAAATACAAGAGAGTAAAAATCTGAATATTAGTCAAAGGGGCATCTTATACTATAAAATACAGTACATTTATGTGATGTAGATATTTAACTTACATGCATTATTATACATGTTATTATTATTTGTTATGCATGTATATGTCATGTGATCTCTGAAGGTGTGAAAATATCAAATAGGGGTGTGAAAATATCAATTTCCTATTAGTATTTTTAAATAATTATCAAATGTTTATTAATATTTTTTTTGTTTTAGCAATCCTTTCTTTATTATATAAATTGGCAATAGCCATACCCTGTAGAGGCTAATTTGTCTAGTATACTATATTACACCTGTACTAATAAAGAATCACTTGATCTATTAGGGGCATCCATAAATAATATTATACAAGAGGGGGAAGGGGGTTTCACAAAAATAACATTTTTTTTACTTTTTTTCTAAGTTAGAGAGGGCTCGAAAAAAAATAACCTAAATTTTTTACAAAAATATTAATATCTTGTGACCGAGTGGTCCAAATTGGATAAATTTGATACTATTGAGAGGAATCCAATGGTACCAAAATTATTTAATTTGGATCACCAGATCAAAAAATATTGGCAAATAACTATTGGCTATATTATTTTATATGAAATTACTATAGAATTAACAGTTTTTTGCCTATATCTTTTGATCTAGTGAT